TTTTCTTTTTGAGACGGGGTTTTGTTCTGTCACCCAGGCTGGAGTGCAGTGACAAGATCTTGGTTCACTACAACCTCCACCTCCCAGGGTCAAGTGATTCTCCCACCTCAGCCTCAGAGTAGCTGGGGCTGCATGTGCATGCCACCATGCCTAATTTTTTTTTGTTTGTTTGACGGAGTCTTGCTCTGGCGCCCAGGCTGGAGTGCACTGGTGCGATCTCAGCTCACGGCAACCTCCGCTCCCTGGGTTCAAGCGATTCTCCTGCCTCAACCTCCTGAGTAGCTGGGATTATAGGCACATACATGCCACCACATCGGCTTTGTTGTTCTTTTTAGTAGAGATGGGGTTTTATCATGTTGGTCAGGTTAGTCTCAAACTTCCAACCTCAGGTGATCCACCCGCCCGGCCTCCCAAAGTGCTGGGATTACAGGCATGAGCCACTGTGCCAGGCCTAATTTTTGTATTTTTAATAAAGACAGAGTTTCACCATGTTGGCCAGGCTAGTCCTGAACTCCTGACCTCAAGTGATCTGCCTGCCCCAACCTCCCAAAGTGCTAGGATTACAGACATGAGCCACCATGCCCAGCCGACAAATCCTTCTTAATACTTATTTGGTTCCGTAAGTCTATGGACGCTTAATCTGTGCCATACTTCTTTAGTGGATGGGATCCTGTGAGTCATATCTCTCATTTGACAAGTTAATTTTTCACAAAAAGATTTTGTCAAGATTGATATATTAATTTTTTTTAGCAGAACAGTCTGAACCTCATATTAAAAAGTTCTCGGAACTGGTCTGGATCCATATTGAAATAAATCATACATTTTAGGTTTTCTATTCTTAATAAATGAGATGATTTTATAGAGATACAAGGAAACATGCTTGCTTTCTTCATATTACAGAAAAACAGTATTTCCAGATCCTTGATGATCAGAAAATGAAACTGCACATTGTTTTCTAATTCCTATAATGCTACTAGTATAATGACTTTCTTTCCATTCAGGGCTATTTTAGTAAGGTTACATATTACAGAATATTTGGAAAAAAAATGATGGTACATACAAGTGAATCTGTGTATCTGTACAATGATAATGGCATCATTCAATAATAATGGAGGATGAGGGACAAAAGACAACACACTGGGGCCAGGTACGGTGGCTCACACCTGTAATCCCAACACTTTGGGAGGCCAAGGCAGGCGAAACACCTGGGGTGGGGAGTTCAAGACCAGCCTGACCAACATGGAGAAATCCTATCTCTGCTAAAAATACAAAATTAGCCAAGCATATGGCACATGACTGTAATCCCAGCTACTTGGGAGGCTGAGGCAGAAGAATTTCTTGAACCTGGGAGGTGGAGTTTGTGGTGAGTCGAGATGGTGCCCACCATTGCACTCCAGCCTGGACAACAAAAGCAAAACTCGATCTCAAAAAAACAAAAACAAAAAAAACTACACATTGGGTACAGTGTACACTGCTTGGGTGATTGGTACACCAAAATCTCAGAAATCACCACTAAAGAACTTATTCATGTAGCCAAACACCATTTATTCCTTGAAAACCTATTAAAATTTTAAATATCTATAAAAAAATAAAATTTTAAAAAGTTTTCATATCCAGCCAAACTAAGCTTCATAAGCAAAAGAAAATAAAATCTTTTGTGAACAAGCAAGTACTCAAGAGATTTCATCACCACCAGGCCTGCTTTACAAGAGCTTCTGAAAGAACCACTACACATAGAAAGGAACAACCAGTATCAGCCTTTCCAAAAATATACCAAAAAGTAAAGAGCATCAACATAATGAAGAATTTACATCAACTAATGGGCAAAACAGACAGCTAGCATCAAATGGTGGTATTAAACTCACATATATTATTATTAATCCTAAACTTAAATCGACTAAATCCACCAATCAAAAGGCACAGCCAAAACCCATGGGTATGCTGTATCCAGACCCATCCCACATGCAAGGATACACAAAGACTCAAAACAAAGGGATGGAGAAAGATTTACCAACCAAATGGAAAGCGAAAATAAATAAATAAAAAGCAGGAGTTGCAATTCTCGCCTCTGATAAAATAGACTTTAAAGCAACAAACATCAAAAGAGGCAAAGAAGGACATTACATAATGGTAAAAAGATCAATGCAACAAGAAGACCTAACGATCCTCAATATATACGTTCTCAATACAGGAACACCCAGATACATAAGACTTATAGAGAGACTTAGACTCCCACGCAATAATAGTGGGAGACTTCAACATCAATACTAGATAGATCAATGAGACAGAAAACTAACAAGGATATCCAGGACTTGAACTCAGATCCGAAACAAGTAAACTTAACAAACATTTATAGAACTCTCCACTTCAAGTACACAAAACATACACTCTTATCAGTACCACATCACACCTACTCTAAAAGTGAAGTAAATCATTCCTTAATAATTGTATAGTATCTCACAGGTTTAAATGAAATATTGGTTGGCTGCTTGTTATTTTCTTCCCTCATTTTTTTCCTGTCTCCATTATTAAGCACAATAATTGGCATAAAAGAGGTTTTTAATACCCATTTTTAGACTGCATTCTAGGCTGGGCAATAAAGCAACACTCCCGTTCTCTCTCCCTCTTCCTCTTTCTTCCTCTCCTTTATTTTTTTTTTCCTTTCTTTCTCTCTTTTTTTTCTTTCTTTTTTTTTTTTTTAAAGTTGATCTCAGGGAGGTAGAAAAGTACTGTTAGATAGAAGGCATAGCAGAGTAGGTGACTATAGTTAGCAATATGTGTTATATATTTCAAAGCAGCTGAAAGAGAAAACTTGAAATGTTCCTAACATATAGAAATGATAAATACTCAGATGGATACCCCAAGTACTCTGACTTGATTCATTACAAATTCTATGTATGCAAAAAAATATGACATGTACCTCATTAAATAAGTAAAATGTTATATATCGGCTGGGCGCGGTGGCTCACACCTGTAATCACAGCACTTTGGGAGGCTAACGCGGGCGGATCACCAGGTCAAGAGATCGAGACTATCCTGGCCAACATGGTGAAACCTTGTCTCTACTAAAAATACAAAAATTAGCTGGGTGTGGTGGCATATGCCTGTAGTCCCAGCTACTCAGGAGGCTGAGGCAGGAGAATTGCCTGAACCCAGGAGGCGGAGGTTGCAGTATGCAGAGATTGTGCCACTGCACTACAGCCTGGCACCTGGCGACGGAGCAAGACTCTGTCTCAAAAAAAAAAAAAAAATGTTATATATCAGTAAAATAAACTGAAGTTATTATTTTTTTTGAAGACAGGGTTTCACCATATTGGTCAGGCTGGTCTCCAACTCCTGGCCTCAGATGATCCACCTGCCTTGGCCTCCCAAAGTGCTGGGATTGTAGGCATGAGCCACGCCGCCCAGCTGAAGTTAGTTTTAAAAAAAAATAATAAAAAATAATAATAATAATGGCAGGAAGATTCTGTAGCAGAGAGATTCTATACCACATTTTAAATAATATTTTCTCAAATGTATTTATATCAAATAACTATTATACCTGATCAAATTATTCAGAAACTATAAAAGTAGATAGCATATCCTTAACATTTATTATAACAATGAAACTTAAGTGAGTCACAACATGTAAAGTAAAAACTATTTTTACACACTTGAATTGCCATCCTCCTTCCCTGACTATCTCCATGTCTTCCAAAAGTGTATGAAAATACTGAGAACCTATACTTATAATTCACTAGAAGCTGGGTGACAATTAAATATAGTTAGAGAATCTTTTGGTAAGAAGAAAATGAAGTCAAAAAGCATGTTCCATTATCTGTTTTAATGCATTACTTTTATGGATATAATGAAAACAAGGTTCAAAAAAATTTTATGATATATATCACTTATGATGAAAACTTAAAAATTTAAATTTGAAAAATTAAAAAATTTTTCAAAACCAATCATTTAAAAATTTTAAAATTAAAAAAGCAGCTTTATTTAAAGTAATATTTCGAGGCCAGACATGGTGGCTTATGCCTATAATCCCAGTACTTTGGGAAGCTAAGGCAGGAGGATTGCTTGAGGCCAGGAGTTCAAGACTAGCCTGGGCAACATAGTGAGACCCAGTCTCTTCAAAATATTAAAAAATTAGCTGGGCATGTCTCAGCAACTTGGGAGGCTGAGGTAGGAGGATTGCTTGAGTCTAAGAGTTCAAGGTCGCAGTGAGCTATGATCACACCACTGCACTCCAGACTGGGTGACAGAACAAAACTGTCTCTACAACAAAACAAAATAAACAAAAAATTAGTAATATTTGAATTAAATATTACATAATGCTACTTAAATTCACATTTGCTTCTGAACATAATGGCGAGGTAGTACTACACTACCCTATTAAAAGCATAAATCCAGAGCTGGGTGCAGTAGCTAATGCTTATAATCCCAGCACTTTAAGAGGCCAAGGCAGGCGTATCACTTGAGGTCAGGAGATTGAGACAATCCTGGCTAACACGGTGAAACCCTATCTCTACTAAAAACACAAAAATTAGCTGGGTGTGGTGGTGCGTGCCTGAATCCCAGGTACTCGGGAGTTTGAGGCAGGAGAATTGCTTGAACCAGGGAGTCACAGGTTGCAGTGAGCCGAGGTCGCACCACTGTACTCCAGCCTGGGTGACAGAGCAAGACTGTCTCAAAAACAAAAACAAAAAAACCATAAATCCTTGAAGTCTAGAAGACAGTGGTAGCAGTGGCAGCAGAACATACTGATCTAGGAAAACATAAAGTTACTTCTACTCTTCAGTGTACTTTTGTTCTACAGGCTAAACAGTGGTTCTGAACAGAAAATGATTTTTGCCCTTTAGGGGACATTTGTGTGACATGGTAAAAGCCCCATAAAACTGCATACCTCAACCATACCTCGGCTTTCTGTTGAAACTGCTCTCTCTAACCCTGATGTGACAGGCAAGCAGTCCAAACCCACGCCATCTTGGCCCTGGCGACTTGTAATAAGTAACTAAGGTCTGTAATTTCCACCCTACCCAGGCAATGTGTAAACTAACCCGTATCTTGACTTCTGTGAACCACTTAAGTAACAATCAGAATGTCCAAAGTCCCCTGGCCCTCAGAATGCCCGAAGCCCCTCACCTGCACCCCCGCCCAGGAGGTGGTTTACAGAATGTCCAAGTCCACTGGCCCTTGGAATGTCCAATGCCCCTCGTCCCCACCCCTGCCCAGGAGGTGGTTTATGGGCATAAGAGGTCTTGACACCCTCCTTTCGGGGCCACAGGTTGGAGAAACGTGAGTCCTCCAAGGCCGCCGGCAATAAAGACCCTCCGATTTGGCACACTTTTGTCTTAGTGTTGACTTTCTATGCTCGCTCTGGTACAACATCTGTCTGGACACATTTTGGGTTGTTAGAAGTAGGGAAAGGTACTACTGGTATTTAGTGGTATAGGCCAGGTAAGCTGCTAAATATGCTACAACGCCCCCAACAACCAAGAATTATCTGGCTTGAAATGTTAGTAGTGCCAATATCCCTGATGAACACAAATGCAAAAACCCTCAACAAAATTCCAGTAAACCAACTTCAGTAGCACATTAAAAAGATTACATAGCATGATCACATGGGATTTATCTCTGAGATTCAAGGATTGTTCATCATACACAAATCAATAAATGTGATATACCACAATAACAGAATAATGGATAAAAATCATATGATCATCTCAAGAGATGCAGGAAAAACACTAAACAAAATTTAACATCCTTTTTTGACAAAAACTCTCAGCAAATTAGGTATAGAAGGGATATACTTTCATATAATACAGGCCCTATATGACAAGCCCACAGCTAACATCAGATTCAATGGTGAAAAGCTAAAAGCTTTTCCTTTAAGATCAGGAACAAGACAACGATCCTCAGTTTTATCATCTCTATTCAACAGAGTACAAAAACTAGAACATAGTTCTATTAAACATAGAACAAAACTAGAACAACTAGGACGTTCTAGTTAGAACAATCAGGCAAGAAAAAGAAATAAAGCTATCCAAATCAGAAAAGGCGAACTAAAATTGACTCTGTTTGCAGATGGCATGATCTTATATATATAGGAAATACTAAAGACTCCACAAAAGCACTGTTAGAACTAATAAATGAATTCCACAAATTTGTAGGATTTAAAAACACACAAAAATCAGTTGCATTACTATATACTAAGAGTGAACTAAATGGAAAAAAAATGAAGATAAAAATCCCACTTACGGTAACATCAAAAGTAATAAAACAGTTTTAGAAACAAATTTAACCAAGAAGGTAAAATATTTAAATGTAGAAAACTATAAAACACTGATAAAAAAAATTGAAGACACAAACAAATGGAAAGATATCCTGTGTTCATGGATTGGAAGAACTAATATTGTTAAAATATCTATATAATCCAACGTGATCTACAGATTCAATGCAATCTCTATCAAAATTCCAATGGTTTTTTCATAAAAAAATAGAAAAACAACAACCCAACATTTGTATATTAATACTACAACAGAAGATCCGAAGTAGCTAAAGCATTCTAGAGAAAGAACAACAAAACTGGAGGGATCACACTTCCTGATTCCAAATTATGTTATATAACTACAGTAATCAAAGTAGTATGGCACTGGCATAAAAACAGACATAGAGACCAATGGAACAGAATAGGAAGCCCAGAAAGAAACCCAAACCTATATACTCAACAAATCTTCAACAAAGGCACCAAGAAGATACAATGGGGAAAGGATAATCTTTTAAATAAATGGTGTTAGGAAAACTGGATATCCCTAGGCAAAAAATATGAAGCTGGACCCTTATTACACCATACATGAAAATCTACTCAAAATGGATTAAAAACTTACACATAAGACCTGAAACTAAAAAATTACTAGTTGAAAACAGAAGGGAAACCTCTTTGACAATTGACCTTGCAATGATTTTTTTGTCAATCATACTTCAATAAAACTGAAGGGGAGGCTGGGTATGGTGGCTCACGCCTGTTATTCCAGCAATTTGGGAGGCCAAGGCAGGTGGATCACTTTACGTGAGGAATTGAGGACCAGCCTGGCAAACATGGTG